AGATTCCTGCTGCCCAACCATGTTAGCAAGGTCAGCGGTTCAAGCTCACCAGCTGCTCCTCGGAAACCTTATATAGGGTCGCTATGGGTCGGAATCCATTTTACCCCTCTAAAGAACCCAGAGAAAAAGAGGAAGACCCCTAACGAGATGGACTGGCCAGGTGGCATCATTGATGGACTCAAGTGTGGCAGCGGTAGTGAGGCTGGCCCAGGATCAGACATTGTTTTGTTCTGCTGTGCATGGGGTCACTATGAGTTGGTTCTGACTCGATGGCACCTGATAACAACAAGAAGTCACCTAATTACAGAGTCCTGGTGTGGCACCGTGGGTTAATGTGCCACATCGCAAAGCTGCTTGAACTGCAAGGTCGGTAGTTTAAGCTCACCAGCTGCTCCTTGGAAACCCTATACAGGGTCACTATGGATCAGAATCGACTTGAAAGCACTTAACAACAAGTCACCTAATTGTTTATGAGCCAAAAATTATCCATACTCTGGTTCTATTAAAACATCCATCCACATCCCCAGCTGATGGCAACATTGAGTGTGCATGTGAAATGATTCGTTCAAATAGACGAGCAGCAGTATATTATGTGGCAACTCATTTGCAAATCAGCCATCGCTCTATGAAGTAACCCACAACAGACTTGGGTTTTGAAACGTTTGTGTGATATGGGTTCCGAAACAACTCAAGGAAGAGTAAAAGTGTTTAGACATCTGAAAATAAAATTTGCACTGATACTTGAGGGAAGGTAAACATTTCTTTAAAAAAGATTGTTACGGGTGATGAGACATGGATTCATAACTATGAGCCCGAGAGTAAACGGCAGAGCATGGAACGAAAACACCCTGAAATGCTGACCCAAGAAAAAGTTCAAAAGTCAACCACCAGCTGGAAAATGATGCTTAAAGTTTTCTGGGATTCTCAAGGGCCAATATTAGGAAAAAGGTTCAACAATTACAGTGAGATGCTCACTGAAGAGCTGAAGCCAAAGTTTCAGATTAAACACAGAGAATTGCTATCCAAGGCTGTTGTGATCTTGCCTGACAATGCACATTCACCTACCTCTGCCCACACTGTTGACACTCTACAAAAACTTCACTTTGAGGTGCTAAAGCGTTCTCCCTATAGTCCTGATCTTACTCCATTGGACTTTCACCTGTTTGGTCCCCTGAAAGCAGCCCTTCCAGGATGAAGATTCACCTCTGATGAAAAAGTGGAGACAGTGCTACATTCGTGGTACACAGCTGAGCCTAAAACATGTTTTAATAAGGGAAAGTTTGTTGATAGATGAACGAAGTGTATTGAAAAGCAAGATGATTATGCCAAAAAATGATGTATTTGTCTTTTCTAAATGTTGATTAAAATAAATTCTACAGCCAGAGTGTGGATAATTTTATTTTAAATTTTATTTATCATGTCAAACATTCTTTACTGAGCTAGCAATTATTATATGAAGGAGAGTTCAGAAAACAGATTTAAGACTGCATTAGTCTTATCCTTGATTACAGATATTTAGGAATTATACAAAAACCATTAATGTGTAGAGTAGGTTACTGAAAGTCTTAAAGGCTGTGAACTCAGAAGAGCACTTCCCTGCCAGGCTGGAAGCCTCCTTCAGACCCCAAGATTTAGGTACAAGGATGAACATATTTTCTCTTTTGGGTTTAAATCTTTAAACAGTTCCAATGCTCCTTCCTGCATGAATCAGTTTGAAGGTGTTTGGTTGAAAGATAGACTGTGATTCACAAATTCATCAACTTTTATCTTTTTAGACATATATTCAGACACCAGCTTTGGGATGCTTTCCACACTCTTCCAGTCTTCAAAGGCAGTGCCTTTCCATGGGCGACCTGTCACCAGATGGAGTGCGTAAATACAGGTTTCTTCACCCAGAGCAGTTACTCCAGCCAGCACACTTTGGTTGGTGTAGCTTTGATACCCCAGCCTCTGTGGCTCTCATGACCTTCACATGACCAAAGCAGTGTCTACTCTCTCTCCATCATCACAACACACACCTCCTGAATGTGTTTACTGAAGTCCTGTGGGTCAGTACATTCACAAGCGCCAAACTCTTTGGACTTTGCAAATTTATCTTTATTGATGCTTATTCCTATGACCCGGGATGCACCAGCTACCTTACAGCCCATGACAGCAGCCAATCTAACTCTTCCTCGGCAAAGATGTTACAAGTAGAACCAGGCTCTTCCTCGGCAGTGTTTACGGCAGCACCATAACCAGCTGAAACGCCACAACCCAGCAGATAAACTTGAACCGGGGTGCTAAAGGATATATTTTAGCAACAGAGATAACAGACACATTATATTCAGAAAAAGTGCTGGTTCCCATGTAATGTAAGATAGCCTTTCCTTTATAAATAAATCTGCTGGTACCATTAATCCTTTCCCTTGAGTGACTCTTAACTTCTGCCAAAGGTTTATTTTAGGATTTAGAAAAAAATGTGTATTCTCCACACTATGGGATGGATGTAAATTAGAGAGACAGTACCACCAGCTTTCACCTCAGTGAACTCCTTCACCAACACTCTACAGTTCCAGCTGCTTTACGACCCAAGATCTCTGGAAAATACTCTTCCAGGTCAGCCCTGCTTAAAGTAGAGGCATTGGTGTGGCAAAGTGCGATGGCTGTAATCTTAACTCAAACCTCATGAACCTTTAGAGGGTCCACCTTGACTTCTTCCTCTAGGGAGAACGACTTTCCAGGTTCCCAGGCTACAGCAGTCCCGCACTTGATAACCTCCTTCTTCATGTCCACAGGCTCAGGCAAATGCTGGGCTGCTGTGGATAATTTTTTACTCACCCTGGGACTTTCTCAATCTGTTTCATCTGTAGCTTTAAAACAAACAAACAAACAAACAAACAAAAAACACAAAGGAGGGGATGGGAGGAATTGGAAGAAGGGAGAGAATAAACCTACACAGTTGATAACTCAGATAACAAATGAAACGTGTACCGTAAACTCTGAACAATTCTACAACAGAGCTTACAACTCCTTCCAAGGAGGGATAGGGACCACCACACAACTTTCATTAACAACAGGGATTACACTCCCTTCCAAGGAGGGACAGGGACCACCACACAACTTTCATTAACAACAGGGATTACAACACCTTTCAAGGAGGGACAGGAATCATCACACAACTTTCATTAACAACAGGGATTACATCTCCTTCAAAGGAGGAACAGGGACCATCATACAACTTTCATTAACAACAGTGATTACACCCCCTTCCAAGGAGGGGCAGGGACCACCACACAACTTTCATTAACAACAGGGATTACATCCCCTCCCAAGGAGGGACAGGAATCATCACACAACTTTTATTAACAACAGGGATTACACCCCCTCCCAAGGAGGGGCAGGGACCACCACACAACTTTCATTAACAACAGGGATTACATATCCTTCAAAGGAGGAACAGGGAACATCATACAACTTTCATTAACAACAGGGATTACACCCCCTTCCAAGGAGGGGCAGGGACCACCACACAACTTTCATTAACAACAGGGATTACATCCCCTTC